TACCGAATAACTAGACAGGTTGGCAAACAGAGCACACAGAGGGAGAGAGGGTGGACAGACGTTAACTACGCAACAGGGACACAAAGACACACTGGGCTTAAATACACCGAGGGAGTCATCAAGGAATTAGAGACAGAAGGGTGACACAGCTGGGAGAAATAAGACCTAACGAGACAGGGAGAGCAAAGCTGGAACACTGACATCAGACAGGAACAAGAACCTTCAAAGTAAAACAGGAAACAAAACACACTTTACTAAGACAGACTTGACACTGACCAAAGTCTACTAAATAATAATCATAATCAAAACAGTATCACTGATTAATCAAATCATAAATCATATTTAGAAAAACACCAAAACATGAAAAACAGAAAGCTGGGTCAACGTGACCCAGAACCGTGACAGAAATGTTGTTGAAGCATCCCTGTGGCTTCAGTGTTTGCGCCTTCTTGTGATTTATGATCTTTGAGCCTCTCAACAAGAAAAAAACTCACAGACTTTGAGGTGGAAACTAAAAGTGTCTTTTTCCCTTCTTGCAGGAGACCAAGTTCAATGCCAAAGTTTCCATGAGAGGAAAACGTCTGTCTGTTCACGCTGACCTACGCAGGTTTGCACGTTTCACTTCTTTGTTCATTAAATATCAGATTGGCCTAACCCAGTCACCCCACACTCACTCGATTGTGTTTGCACATTGAAATCTGTAGCAAGATTTTTTTTCCTGTAGCAATATTTGAATACAAATATCTCAAAAACCTTAAAATCAAAATTTCCACTGATCTTCTTTACCGTGAAAATCAATCAGTCTCAAGTTTCAAGTTTTATTTGATCCTATATATGTAAGAGTGGCACATCACTACCAGCAAAGAAATTCTTAGGCTCAGAGCCCCCTCAATATTTCATGTAGAAAAAAAGCAAAATTGCACACAAGGTAATACTAATACAAAACATAGTATATCCTTGTAACTCCTTGGCTCTTGAGGGAGGCGGCCGCACTTTCTCTCTCTCCCTTATCTTCCCTGCTTGGCTTCTCATGTCTTTTATATAGTCTCGCTTATTCTCTAACCCAGGGGTCGGCAACCTTTCTGATGATGAGTGCATCTAAAATTTCCTCAGAAGTCAGTGTGCCATATGATTGCATTAACAATAAATTTAATAACGCTCTATATTAACGACACCAACTCTCTGCCATCTATAATCCAGTTTTGAGTTCCCTCCCCAGACGCCTTAATGCCCACTCACATCCTGGGACATCTGACCTCAGGAAATCACATGATAAGGTGGGGCCAGGTTTCACAATGAGCTCACCCGAAACCCTGGCTGATTGGGACCCACACCCAGTTTCA